AATCGGCTTTGAGTCAATTTGATTGACGACAAGTCGCGTATCCATTACATGAGAATACTTTTCATAAGAAAATTCAAAACTGGCATGATTGTGCATATGTTATGCCTTTCCATCAAGATGCAACTTTAACAAAAGTAGGTTTCTAAACTAGCTACAAGTTCTGACCAAAAAAAAAAAAAAACTAGCTACAAGTGACAACTCTCCCATCTGTTATGTTAATTAAGATCAACTTTTTTCAGGCCACTATCTCTTAAAGGGAAAATAAAAAAAAAGTTTACATTGAATCAATTTATCAATCCTACAAAGTTGCCTATAATGTTAAATTATATATCGAGTTTGAACCGTTTACGGAACCCGACCCAATTGAAGGATGTAAATCGATTTATTAAAGCGAAATCTAATTGAAAAGAAAAAGAAGTCACTTTCCTATTTGATTAGAATTCCTTTCCTTGATTGCCACACAAATTCACGTGAAGGTTCGTTTCCATTGAAGATTATTATCCAAGTTGACTGACAGCAACTTGGATATAGTGGACGTCTGTGACTTCCATTATTGTGCGGTCAACAAGATTTAAAAGGATGCTTATCTTGACTTTTCTTCGGGCTGAACATGAAAGGAAAAGAAGGGCTCCATAATATAAAAAGATATATTTTCAGCCGCACAGATGTAACAGTTTTTGGTCGTGCACAGGAGTAACAACGTAAAGTGAAGAACTCCATGGAAGCCGCACGATGATTTGTGCCGTGAGTTTAGCACCAATTAAATTGTTTTATTTGTAAACACTTAGTTATAATCTAAGTGTGGAAAATACTCGAGCATATTAGCGATTGTAACTCTGATTTTCTAATTATAGAGAATTATTTATTGCTGATTCTTCCCGTGAATGTTAAGTACTGGGGGTGTCAGAACCGAACCGGAAAACCAAACCAAAACCAGAATCGAATCGAAATTTCGTGCATTTTCTGTCCTATTTGGGTTTCAGTTCGGATAATTAAAAATAACCTTTTTTATATTCTAATTCGGATAGTTTCGGTTCGGTTCGGTTAACCGAACTGAAAATCGCCCATCTTCTTAATATTAGAATTTGCACAATCTCTCTCCTTTTTCACTAAACCTTTTTTTAATGTTACCAAAAAAAAAAAAACTAACCAAACCAACCAGGTTTTCAGTTTGAGTCACGGTTTGGTTCGATTCAATTGCTCACCCTAACGGTTTGGTTCGGTTCAGTTCTTCTAGAAACTCAAACCGTTGACACCCTTAGGTACCAACACTCACATCGAATCACGTAAATCATTTGTGTCCTTTATTGTTCCTTGTTATTTCTCTAATATTTTTGCATTGACTTGATTTGCAAGATGTTGTCGTTTCCTCGTTAATATTTCAACATATAATGCTTGGTCAGTTTTTTAGTATCCTGCTTCTATACTGAGACATGATGTCCGCATAGAATGATGTAGAAATCATAAAAGCAGACTCAACTTTAGCCTTTTGAGGGATAACTCACCAGATAGAGTCCATTAATTTTCATCTTTGGAATTGTGATACGAGTCTTGAGACAAAATTAACATCTTAGGAAAATTGGACCCCAAGTTTTCATAGATCGTCGAATGACTCGGATAGCTGATAATTTGACAATGCTTATGAATTCACATGGCACAATTGAGAAAAAAGTATGGTTGGTCCCCCCGCAGAGCTCTAACCCAAGCAAGCCAAAACTACATCAATGATGGCCAAAAAACTACATGTGACAATCCTATCTGAATTCTGAAATTTCCTGCTGAATCATCGGCTAGACGAGTCCTCAAGGCCTAATGATTTGATGGGTCATGGTAATTAGGCCCAAGCAATCAATACCGTATTTCTTGGGGTGAAATCAATACCGTATGCAAGTTCAGACCTTTAAGGCACAACGGAAAAGGATGAAAAGAGGCTTTTTCTTCCTGTCTAGTTCTCGTTTGATGTTGAAGGTACCTAATCTATGAACCGGTGTCCAGCTTCCTGTTAGTGTGAAAGTTTGATGTCAACGATCGTTGACTCAAGTCAATGAAACAACCGTTGTATGCCTTCTAGTCAAGATTAGACACTCTTTAAGGCAAGCACGCAAGAATCTTCCTTCTCCATGTAGAGAGAACTCTGAGGTGAGGTTATCAAGAATGAACCCATCCCCTTTACTATTCTTCGAACCGTGGCAAGTGGCAAGTTTACAGGCCAATCATTCAAAGAAGTAACTATCTACATCCTTGTCGAACACGGCAATACTACGACATATCCTAGTTCATTGAAGATCATAAAATTGAAAATAGAGACGTCGTACATGACCAATTGCACAAGACGGGTCTCCCTTCATGTTTGACTGGGGAACATTCAATTTGGAATTTTCGTTTCTTATTGCGCAAGGAAAAGTCATTTTGGACTTGTCTCCTTCCAACTGCAGCAGGTAGCTATTCTAAACTACTAAAACATTCATTCACGCAGAGAGCGAACGGACTTTTCTCGCCCAAATACCATCTAGTCTTTATTGCTAAATGTATTGCACCACACACCAAGGATGTTAGGCAATAATGCAGGAATTGAGCATTACAGCAGTAACTCCTAAAATGAAAGCATGGCACCTGTTATCGACGCAACGAAAGAATGGATAAAACATTTAGGACTCAAACGTAACAGTCCACTGGACTAGGCTTCATTTTTATTCACGAGCAGCCTTGGGCTGCCTGAGTTCTTCGATTAACAAAGTCAAACAGGAGTCAGACGATCCACCTCCCCCAACAGCCTTCCTGGACATTTCGCCGAGCGCTTTCGCCCTTCTTCTCATTTCCTCTGCCTCTTCACCCGCCATAACTCGTTGCACCACCTTTTCGATGTCCTCTCTGCTCACATCATCTGCACCAATTCCGAACTCAGCGAACTGTTTAGATCCAACGCCAATCCCGATCCCTCGCACTTGAGTGACCAACTTTTCGTTATAGAATTGGTCAGCAAACATCGGCCACGTGACCATTGGCACACCGGCACATACTCCTTCCATTATCGAGTTCCATCTGCAGTGAGTCGCGAATCCATCGACCGACTTGTGATCGAGAATCAACACTTGGGGCGCCCATCCTCCTATGATTAGGCCACCCTTACCATCCATTCTTTATTCGGAACCTTCTAGTAATTAATCTTTTGCTTCATCTTCATCTTTTCTCACAATCCATATGAAATTTTGTTGAGATGCCTCAAGCCCCTTCGCGATTTCCACCAGCTGTTGAGGACTTAGTTTGGTCAAGCTGCCGAAACACACGTAGACAACCGAGTTGGGCTTTTTCGAATCTAGCCACCTTAAGCATTCGTGCCTGCTGATGGATGATGCCTTACCCCTCACCACTTTATCTACAGTATCCTTATTGCAGAGTGAGACCGGACCGATATGCCAGGCCTTCCTTCCCAAGACATTCCTGTAATAATCGGCATAATCCTTTTCAAGTTCATAAAAGCTGTTCAAAATACTTCCATAACTCTTTTGCTCCGATTCAACCGCTTCTCTTGCAAACTCGGAAAATTCTGTTTCAACTTCTTGTCTTAAATATTGCGGTAGCTGATTCCTTCTCATCTTTATTTCTCCAGGGAGGTGAGGCACAAGGAAAGTCTGTGAATCAGATGAAACTCTCTTGTGTGGTTGATATAGTGCGATAACTCCCCAGCTGCACATAGCAAAGAAACTTGCCCCACTAAAGACTAGCCTGTGAATTTTCAACTGAGCAGCAACATCGGTAGCCCATGGAAAGAATGAATCTGCTACCTGAGAATCCAGTCTATGTTCTTCCAGGGTATGCAATATTGGTTCCCGGAGCAAGCTCAGGGCCTTCCAGAATTTATCCAACAATTCCGCCTGATTTTGGCGGCCCTACCTCACTGATGGGAATTTCACGGTTTGGATATTGAACTCCAAACCCAACCGATTGATTCGTTCGATTTGTTTCATAAAAAAGGTCGCATAGAGAGGGGTGGCGATGATGGTGACTTTTGCGCCTCGAGTCACAAAGGTTTTGGCGATGTCCATCATGGGTATCATGTGGCCTTGAGCCATTAATGGCAGAAAGAAAATTCGAAGTCGGTCACTTTCATTCTCCATAGAGAGGGAAAAGGAAAGATCCAGGTTTTGCTTCGTCTGTGCAGATTGCAGAGTTGTACGAAGCTGGCTAACGTACGTGTTCAAATATAGGTCTGTGGCCATATATTGACATACGGACCGCAGGATACAGGAGAAGACACATCCTTGAAAGGATAAGCTAACTCGTTCTGGCCTTTATCACAATAAGGACGGTAAGAAATTCGGTATCACATGAACTCCGGTACATATCTGTGAGGAAGCACCAGAAATTTCTCCGACACCTTCATATTGAAGGTACCTAATCTATGAATATGACGCGAGTTAAGTTCGTCATTGAGTGAAAGTTTGATGTGAACAATTGTTGACTTTAGTCGATGATAAACCGAAATGTCAATTTGGTTTTGGCCGAAAATACCTTGAAACCCAAGAATGATTATAAGGAAAATTACCATGAGGATGGAAACAATTACCTCTCGGTCTTTTCTCTAAAATTGTTGCCAATTGCCAAGTTATATACATCTTGTCTCAAAAGATCATGCAACAGCAAAATGTCATTAACATGTGATGACTGAGGAGGTTGAGTTGCCCTGTCTCTTGCAGGGCATGGGAGTCAAAACCCACATCCAAAACTACACGTCCTCACTCCTAGCTCCCTTGAGAAGATTGGGATTCGAACTCCTCATTTCCCCCTTCTCAAGTAAGAAGGGTAGCCACTGGGGCAAATCCCAATGCTTATTGCCATCCTCTTCTTGTCTTTTTTATTTTTGTTTGTCTTTCTAGCCTTTCTTTGTCTGTTGATGGGCAATACAATATTTGGAATATGAAATTGCAAAGATCTCTCCGCCTGTTGTGTCTCAAGGACAGATTATTCAGAGAGGGAAAGTCACACAGGGCATCTTGCTCTTGAAATTGCAACTATGAGACTTAACTTCAATTTCTTCGGCACAAAAGAATTCAAGATCGTGTATACTTTGCCTATTACCTCAAAAGAAGTTAACTCACATCCTACACATTGAATGATCACAACATTCCGAAAATAAATCCCATGAAAAGAAACTGCAAATCCAGCTTTTTTCTCTACTGCTAAACCACAGCATAAACTGAGAATAGAAGATTTCTATTTTTTCAGTTTTATTCTCTTGAAGCAAAAATTCAAGATTGATTGTTCCAGGTCATGAATCAGATCTTCTTATTGTGAGCCAATCTGTGCAGTCTGAGCTCTTTAATCAGAGCACCCAAATCAGACCAAGAAGACCCACCTTCTTCCACAGCCCCTCTCGCCATCTCTGCAAGCGCTTTCGCTCTCCTTCTCATTTCCTCTGCTTCCTCACCCACCAAAATTCTCTTCACCGCCTCTTCCACTCTCTCGCTCTTCACGCTATCGCCGAACTTGCTCACCCACTGCTTCACCCCGATGTCGACCCCGATCTTGAGCACTTGGGTCACGAGCTTCTCGTTGTAGAATTGCTCTGCTGCGACCGGCCACGTCACCATCGGCACGCCGGCCGTGACCGCCTCCAGGGTTGAGTTCCACCCGCAATGCGTCACGAATCCCCCGATTGCCTCGTGATCGAGAATCAGCACCTGAGGAGCCCAGCCCCTTATGATGAGGCCCTTGTTTCGGATTCTTGATTCGTACCCGTCAGGCAGCCACTCTTCTTTGCCTTCTTCCACATTCGGGTCCTTCTTCACCACCCAAATGAACTGTTGCCCTGATGCTTCCAGTCCGACAGCGATCTCATGGAGCTGAGCAGCGTTGAAATCCGCCATGGTTCCAAAGCAAATGTAGATTACTGAGTTGGGTTGCTTCGAGTCAAGCCACTGGAGGCACTCGTGCTGGTCAATGGATGCTTGGTTGCCCCTGTGTGCTTTGTCCTCAATCTCCTTATTGCACAGTGAGAACGGGCCGACAAACCAGGATCGTCTCCCGAGGAATGTCCTGTAATGGTCAGCGTAATCCGGCTCGAGCTCGTAGAAGCTATTCATGACGACTCCGAAGCTCCTCTTCTCCGATTCCTTCACCACATTGTAGAACTTGGTGAACTCGGTCTCTTCCCTTACAAAGTCTGGCAACTGCATCTTGGACAGTGTAATTTCTCCAGGGAAGTTGGGGATGACGAAGGGCTCTGAATCGCAGGACACCGTCTTGTGAGGTTCATAGAGCCTCACGCATTCTGTGCCTGCCATGGAGAAGGCACTTGTCCCATGGAAAACGAGCCTAGGAATGCCGCACTTGGCCGCGATCTCGGTTGTCCAGGGGTAGAACATGTCCGAGATTAGACAATCGGGGGCAAGTTTCTCTATCAGCAACTCGAGCTGTCGGTCCAGCATCGTGAGGGCACTCACGAATTGCTTGCGCATATCCATCATAGTGGCCTTGTTTATATTGTCACAGTCTTCTGGCAAGCCGACCTCTTTCAGGGGCAATGTCACCGTGACGACATCGATTTCGAAGCCCAAATCCTTGGGTTTCGCGACGGATTTCAAGAAGGTGGTCTCATCCTTGGACATGGCGATGAGCGTGGACTTGCAGCCTCTCATGGCAAACATTTTAGCCATGTCGATCATTGGGATCATGTGGCCCCGAGCCATGAAAGGGAAGAAGAGAACGTGAAGCTGATGGCTTTCGCTACCCATTTTGGCCTCTCAGGAGAATTTTCTGGTACAGGAACGTTTTCAGGAATGATGGCGGTGAAGAACGAGGAAGATTGATGCTGTTGACTTTTGAAAGCTGAGGTTTGTTTAAAGAATTTAAACCTGGGGCATATATATAAGGAAGGGATTGGCAATGCAGAAAAGGGCGACGAGAGAAAGACAATTTTGATTTCTCCTAGTCAAATATATTTTATACGGTGACCAGAAAGATGAGGGGAATAGATATTGTCCTCTGCATTACATAATCTCTTACGCAAAGCATGCAAGTTGTAGGAAAGTCATTGGAAAGAGGCAATTCACTTACTTGTCAAGTTCTGCAGAGACGTCATGCATGACCAATTGCACAACATGGGGCCTGCCATCATAATTGGCTACGTGACACCCAATTTGGAAAATTCTTTACTTTCTGTGCACGGAAAACCTCACTTTGCATGAGAAATTATCGGATACCACTTTGATTTGAGGTCAACAAAAAAAAGAGTCCATACCTCTTGCGACATGAGTCACTCGCGAGCCTCACCTGTCAGAAAAATCTCTCTCTTCTACGGATAATCAATACGTGATGAATGAAGCTTTTGTACAAAAGTGGTGTTTATAAAGTTTTTGGAATCATTTCATAAAATGTTTGCTCTGAAATCTATAAAATTAGATATTTGACGAAAGGGCGACATGAAACCAAAAAAAAAAATCATAACATAAATTTTCTAGCTTTGCCATTGTTTTTCTTTGTTTCTCCGGTCTCTAGGCAAAATCGTGGAGTGAACATTCTCTCTAAATAGTTTAATTTAAAATTACGAGAATCCATTTATTTTCCTAAAATAAAAAATGAAAGTAAGTAAAATTTTCTTCACCTGCCGTAACTTCGCTTTTGTTTCTTTTTGTTTTGAGATTGAACAATAGAGCCTGGGGTCTTTGTGGGAACAATAGAGCCTGGGGTCTTTGTGGAAATGGACTACTTCTCTTGATTAACTGTGAGGATCAATGTGTAGGAACATTTGGGAACAAATTTAACTCCAAGTTCTCAAGTGGAAAATTGATTGATTCCGTGCGCTACATAAATTAAGTACCACGGAATTTTAAATTATTTTTTGTGTGAAAATTTCATAAACAATCATTTTAGTGATAAAACTTTAGGAGATCAATTGAGTGCCAAAACATTTGAAAAGTTTCGACACCAAAGCGAGCACCTTATAATAGCTATAACACTAATACCGTCCTTATCTCCTTTGCAGGGTAAGCTACTCTCGGCTACAAAAATAATTTTGTTAACAAAATTGTTTGCGGTTTCACATTCCTCCGCGCAGAGTGCGAGAAGGCCACTTTTCTTATCCAAATAGCATCTAGTCATTACCGGTAAAGGTAATGCATCCCCCACCAAGGATGTTAGGCAACAATCCAGGAATTGAACATTACAGCAGTAACTCCTGAAATGAAAGCTGGTGCAACATGTTCTTGATCGATCATTGAGGCATCGAAAGATCGGACAAATCATTTAGGACGAGAACATAATGGTACGCTCGACTGGGCTTCGTTTTGATTCGCGAGTAGCTTTATGCTGCCTGAGTTCTTCGATTAACGAAGTCAAATCTGAGTCAGATGATCCACCTTCTCCAACAGTCTTCATGGCCATTTTGCCACGCTTTTTCGCCCTTCTTCTCATTTCCTCTGCCTCTTTGCCCGCCATAACTCTTCTCACCACCACCTCGATGTCATCTCTGCTTACAACATCTGCACCAACTCCGAAATTGGCGTACTGTTTAGATCCAACGCCAATCCCGATCCCTAGAACTTGAGTGACCAACTTTTCATTATAGAATTGCTCAGCAAACATCGGCCACGTGACCATTGGCACACCAGCACATACTCCTTCCATTATCGAGTTCCATCCGCAGTGAGTCACGAATCCACCGACCGACTCCCAATCAAGAATCAACACATGGGGCGCCCATCCTCTTATGATTAGGCCCTTACCATCCATTCTTTCTTCGAAACCTTCTAGTAATTAATCATTTTCTTCATCTTCATCTTTTCTCACAATCCATATGAAATTTTGTTGAGATGCCTCAAGCCCCTTCGCGATTTCCACCAGCTGTTGAGAACTTAGTTTGGTCAAGCTGCCAAAACATACGTAGACAACCGAGTTGGGCTTTTTCGAATCTAGCCACCTTAAGCATTCGTGCCTGCTGATGGATGCTTCCTTACCCCTCAGTGCTTTATCTACAGTATCTTTATTGCAGAGTGAGACCAGACCGATATGCCAGGCCTTCCTTCCCAAGACATTCCTGTAATAATCGGTATAATCCTTTTCCAGTTCGTAAAAACCGTTAAAAACGCTTCCGTAGCTCTTTAGCTCTGATTCGACCATTTCTTTTGCTAGCTTGGCAAAATCCGTTTCAACTACTTGTCTTAAATATTCTGGCAGCTGAGTCCTTGTTAGCTTTATTTCTCCAGGGAGGTGAGGCACAAGGAAAGTTTCTGAATCAGATGAAACTCTCTTGTGTGGTTGATATAGTGCGATAACTACAGCAGTGCACATAGCAAAGAAACTTGACCCTCCAAAGGCTAGCCTGGGAATTTTCATCTGAGCAGCAACATCCTTAGCCCATGGAAAGAATAAGTCTGCTACTAGACAATCCGGTCTATGTTCTTCCAGGATATGCAAGATCGGTCCCGTAGTAAGCTCAGGGCCTTCCAGAATTTATCAACAATTCTGTCTGATTTTGGCTCCAAGTGACTGCATCCATATTCTCCCAACCTTCTGGCAACCCTACCTCAGTCGACGGGAATTTGACGGTTTGGATGTCGAACTCCAAACCCAACAGATTGACTCTTTCGATTTGCTTGGATAAAAGGGTTGCACAGAGAGGGGTGGTGATGATGGTGACTTTTGCGCCTCAAGTTGCAAAGGTTTTGGCCATGTCCATCATGGGTATCATGTGGCCTTGAAGCACCAATGGCAGAAAGAAACTATGCAGTCGATTACTTTCATTCTCCATACAGAGGGAAAAAGATAGAGGCTTTGCTTCGTCTATGTAGGTTGCAGAGTTTTATGAAGCTGGCTAACGTACTTGATTCAAAGTATATGTTTATGGCCATATTTTGAGATAAGCACCACAGGATACAGGATAAGAAGACAATTCCTTGAAAGGATAAGCTAACTCGTTGAGAATCACATATCCTCAAGCACACATCTGTTAGGAAGCACCAGAAATTTCTTACCCAGCAAGGGAATAGAGTGGTTCCTAATAAAGGAAATATACAGATTAATGGTATGACAAGAAGAAACGTAACAATCCATGCTACGTGGCTGGTCAGGTATTCCAAAAGAATCTTTATCAAGGCTACTTTTTTTCTACAATATTGATGATGAGAAATAAGCCATTGAAGTTTCTATAGGCTGACCCGAATTCTAGAGAAGCCAGCATGATTTGTGAACATCATTTGCTTGTTTAACGTAATTGTCCTGATCTGGGACTCTTCAGTCTTGAAGGTTATAAAATGGGAATTAGTTGTCAGGACTTACTCTATCACTATTAAGCATGTCGTGCTTATTTGTTTAACGTAAATTGTTTTTCCCCCTCGTTAATGAAAGTACTCGAGCAATTAGGAAAACTGCCTCTTATATACTGTAGGAAAGGCAAACATATTCACATTATCAGCCTTATGGAAGGAATATGTGCTGTTCGGGACACAAGGGCAAACGTATTCACATATTTAGCCAGTTTTTGCGTCCTTGTGAATAGGCCAGAATTCACATGTTCTGCACTAATTTCTAATGATGGAAGCAGAATTGCCTACTAGGTTAAAAAAAATTATATCGATTGCTATAAAATCAAGAACATGTTCATCTCTTTGACCAATCTCAAGATAATACAAACATGACATGGCAGGAGGCCCCTACTTTTGTTCAGGCATTGCTCTATGCAATCTCAGCTCTTGAATTAAAGAAGTCAATATAGGATGATCCTCCTTCTTCAACAGCCTCTCTTGCCATTTCCTTGGGCACTTTTGCCCTTCTTCTCATTCCCACGGCCTCTTCACCCACCATAATCTGCCTCACTGCCTCCTCAACAGCCTCTCCTCTCAACCTTGAGCACATCCGTCACCAACTTCTTGTTATAGAACTGCTCAGAAGACACGGGCCAGGTAATTATAGGGAACCCGGCACATATTCCTTCCAGCATCGAGTTCCATGCGCAATGGGTCCGAACCCTCCAACCAATACGTGATTGAGGATCAGGACTTGGGCTGCCATCCTCTTATGATCTGGCCCCTCCCTTCCATTCTCTCCTCGAAACCTTGCGGTAGCCAATCATCATCTCCATTTCGCTCTTTCTTCTTCCCCTTCCTGACGACCCATATGAAGTTTTGTTCAGAAGCTTCAAATTCTAAATGCAATCTCCATAAGCTGCTGGGAAACTAAGTTGGCCTCGCTGCCGAAACACACATAAATGACAGAATTCAGTTCCGTGGAATCTAGCCATGTCAAGCAGTCGTGCTTGTCGATAGATGCTTCCTTTCCTCTAAGCGCTTTATCTTCCATGTCCTCGTTGCACAATGAGATTGGACCTACATGCCATGCCTTCCTGTAATAATCTGCATAATCCTTTTCGGGCTCGTAAAAGCTGTTAACAACATTTCCAAAGCTCTTTAGCTCTGATTCACATAATTCCCCGAACAACTTAGTGAAATCTGTTTCACCTTCTTGTTTAAGAAAATCTGGAAGTTGATGCCTAGTCAGCTTTATGTCCCCAGTGAGGTCAGGCACAAGAAAAGCTTCCGAGTCAGTTAAAACTTTCTTGTGGGGTTCATATAGTCCATGGTTTCATTAGTGCACATGGAGAAGAAACTTAAGAGCTTCAAAAACCATCCTATAAGTCTCACACTCAGTAGCAATATCTGTAGCCCATGGAAAGAAAAAATCTGCTACGAGGCAATCAGGTGTATGTTCCTGCAAGAGTGGCAGAAGCGGTTCTTGGAGCATGCCTGTGGTGGCCTTAAAGAACTTACTTTTCGTTTCTCTACTGTCACCGCTGGAAGAGTGGCAGAACTGTAACCTTCATTCTGTTCCACTTCTCTTTACATTACTGAGGAACCATTACCTTTTACGTTAACTAGATAAGAAAACTTAACTACTTAAAAAAAACAAACATTGATGTTCCTTAAAAAAAATTAAAATTGATTTATGCAATAGATAAAGAGGTCATTACTAATTACCTAC